TATATATATATTTTTTTTTTTTATTGTCAATGTTATCCATTATGAATGTTTAATATTCCTTACATATAGAATATATAAAATGTTTAATGTTTTGTTTCTTGCCACAAGTATTTTCAGGCTAATGGGTATGAGGCTAATTCCTGCAATGCTACAACTTTCAATAATTCAAGGAATTTTGACACACGACAGAAAAAAAAATGTTTAATGTAGTAATACTATATACATGCAAAATTCAATAATATTTACAATTTTTTAAAAGACCATATGTAATTTCTTAAAAAAAAGTTACTCGAGTTATATAAAATTATTTTAAACAATAAAACATTTTTTTCTCTCGAGTATTTAACATGAGTACCTATATAAAATTTAAACTGAGTTTTTTTTTTAAATCACTTGATCTACACCGTTGGTAATAATAATATTTATATGATAGTATTACTTAGTAGTATAAAGTTATGTAGAATCATTGATTAACCAAGAGTTAAGGACGAAAATAATAGATACTTAAATCAGAACTATTTAGATAATTTAAAACCAACAGATAGGTGTTTATAACTTCAAATAATTTTTACATGATATATATATTAAGTTTTTAATTACGAAAACAAATAATATCACTTCATTATATATATACTACATTAAATTATTTAGAGATTATATGATTTACCACTACCAAATAATTTCTCAATCATGAGAGAATAATCCAATAAAACAAAATATAAAAGGAAAATCGCAAAGAGGTTAAACAAAATATGTTAGTATTCACGCAAAGTAACACATTCACGGGCTCAGAAAATTCACCTCACGCAAGTGTCTAAACTCTTCCATGGCCCTGCCGGAGAACAGGTGAACGGAGGTGATTTTCCGGAGCAACCGCCACCGTGGGCCGTACGGCGCGAACACCATGTCCTGGTAGTTGTAAGCTATGTACTTCGCGCCGGCATTCGGAGGCCGGTTACTGAAGTTAGAGTCATGAATCTTCAAAAATTGTTCTGCCACGGACGACGACGCGACTACAATCACGTCGACGAATCCGAGGCAGAGATGCATGAGTGGCCCATGCACACGGGCCAGTGTCGCAAGAGATTGGTGCGGCACCTGGCCCATGTGGGGAAAGTTTCCCAGTATGGGCCACGGTTTGGGCCCCGGAGGGAGTGGCAGCGAAGGACGTGTTATGAACTTTATTAGACGGTATACTATGGTGGCTGCTGCCATTGTAGCCAAGGCAACAACCCATGGAGACATTTTTTTCTCTTTTTTTTGTGGTTTGGACGAGACGAGATTATGTTGTCGTGTTGGAATGAAATGAAGTTTGCAGAAACCTTTTGTGTGTTGTGTTGATGTGGTTCTCTGTGAGGGGCTATATATATAGAGAGAAACCTATTTTTTCTTTCAATCAAGTATTAATTTCCCCCAACCAATTCTCAGTTAACACAAGGAGTTGGGTAAGTGTTGTTTGATGGCTGATGCACCATAATAAATAAAAATAAAATAAAAATTACAAAAATAAATTAATAAAAAAATTATTTATTAAATTAAATAATTTTGGACACGTCGGATACGAAGGAAGGAAGAAAACATTAAAGGTAGTGATGATTTGTGGAATACGAAGGACGATTATGTTCCTTCCTTCTTTTATATCTAACACGTCCAAAATTATTTAGTTTGATAAATTAGTTTTTTATTAATTTCTTTTTATAATTTTTTTTTTTAATTTATTATGGTGCATCAGCCATTGTTTGATAGTTAACACAGTCTTTTGTTTAGAATTTAATAAAACAATGATTAATAAGAGGACATAAATACTCTTTTAATAGGATTTTATTTCTTTAAAGTGAAAGATGTATTTTAGAAGATAAAATATAATAATAATTATCGATTAAATTATTAATGATAGATAATTATGATAAAATATAATAAAATTTAAAATTAATTATAATATTAACTATTAATTTTTTAATCAAATGATTATTTAAAGAAGTTAAGTTCTTTTTAATAAATTGTTTATAATTTTTTTTATATTAGTCACACGTGTATTTTAAGAATGAATAAATAAAAAAAATGATAGATATAGTATTAATTTACATAGTATTATATACTGAAAATATTAGATTATCATTTAAAAATAGCATTCTCATAAATATATATTTTTTATTTATGTTTAATAAATAAAAAATGATAGAAATAGTATTAATTTAATTGCATTAAAAAGTGTTTAATATTATATACCGAAAATGTTAGTTTATTTTTTAGAAAATAATATTCTCAGTAAATATTTATTTTTTATTTATGTTTCTCACTTATTTGAGTTGAAGTAAGAGATTTATGGAGACAAAAATATCAAGTTATCTTCGTTAATCATTTAATATGATAAATAATTAAAAAAAATTGAAAATTTTTACTAATTAAAAGTAAATATATGAATATTTGATTCTTTAAAAATATATATAAATATTTATAATATATATATATATAAATATTTATAAAAATATTTATGACTAGTAAATAAATTTTAATTATTTTTAGAATCACGATCATGAGAGAATTATGATTTTTTAGTATAAATAAAATTTTAAAAATAAAACTCTACTATAGGCACCGTTATTATTCTAATTAATACATTATTTTCGGATGAAATTTATGTAAAACTCACTATATAAAAAATGAAAATAGTAAAAAAAAAGAGGTTAAAATTACGTTAACGAGTAAACCTCATAAAAATTTATTGAATAATATTCTTTTCAAGATTAAAAATATAAATTTAATTTAAATAATAAAATGAGTATTTTTGTACTTATATCAATTATTTATATTATGTGCATGTACATAAAACTGATGGAATTGTTATAGTAATCGATAATTTTCTCGTCAACCACTATAATTGCTCGCTTTATCTTCTAAAGTTGATTATTTATTTTAGAGGAACTAAATTTATATTTTAAAAGTCTTAACACAATTTTTGTGCTGGACAATAAAATAGTAGTTTTAAAATTTATTAAATCGTGCCACAAACAATTCAAAAAATATATTTTTTTAATGATAATATAAGAAAAATATTTATCTCCCACATGCAATTAATGTTTCTTTAAAAATATATAAAATAAACATCTCATCAAGCGTCCTTCTCTTTGTCTATATAATTTCTGTCTCGAACTAAAACAATATAAACAGAATATAAATGTTATGGGTTGCAATTATTATCACGTAACAACTTCATTTTAATTCAAAGAGACATTTTTCATTGAATAATACCACATAACAAAGTACAATTTTTAACTTGTTGAGTGAGACAAATATTTAAACGTAATAAGTAATAAGTAATAAGTTGTTGTTGTTTAGGGTTTTGCAATAAGAAATAGGGTTGGGGTATAAATTTAAACATAAGAATGAAGAAAAAGAAAAGGAATTGAGGTGGTTTGGTTGGAACGTGCGCAATGAACAAGTCTTATTACTGGCCGTTGAAGTGTGCAACCCGTGGACATGGACTTACAAGCCAAAACTAATGCTGTTAGGTAAGCACTACATCACATTTACGTGCTTTAAATATGGCTGTACTAAGATCCATAACATATTAATATTTAAAACCATTGGGTCCACTTACAATGTGTTTGTTTTTTATCGTTTTAACACCTTTTCTATAGTAAATGAAAAAAAAGTGTGAGATGTGGCATGTTCACAGCCATTCTTATAATTCAATGGTTAAACTTTTGTTAATAAGTGTACCTTCCCGGTCAGAATCCGATCTGACCTCGCAATAGGTATTTTTCCGATTCCATGGCTAGTTAAGCCCCTACGCCTTACAGGCTTGGGACTGGAAGGCAAGTGTACCTTCCCGATCAGAATCTGATCCGACCCCTCTACATGGGTGCACTCGGTCAGAATCCGACATGTCTGCTCTACAGGGGTAACTCGGCCAAAATCCGATCTGACCCTCCCACATAGATACTAATCCGATATCAGGGATAAAATCCCATCTTTAATGACAAAATATTTTCCAAATATTAACGGTTATGAAAATCTCTGCACTCACAGGGCCCATGAGGCCCATAAACAAGAAAGTATAAGACCTAAAACCCTAGAGCTAAGCGGACAGATTACACTTTTGAATGCTCTGGCTGGGAGGCTGAATCTAGGAAAAAACCCTAGTCCATCCTTTGGCCGGAACA